TAGCCCTAAAATTTAAACAGTGTGTACTCTAGAAGACTATTCCCTAATATGAATCTAAAGAGATCTTTCTTTTATTGAGACACACTGAGGCTTCTTCTGTCTTTTTTTATGTAGCCTTTCCCCTCACAATCAAATGCCACTAGGCATGGCTTGTTTTTTATTATGCTATCATCGCCAGCGTGGCTCCCTAACAATGAGAATGGATTTGTGATGAGGTGTATCTCTGAAGTCTCTGGTATATATAATTGCCCAAAAAACAGTGTCATGATTAAAAAGTCCGCGCCTACCCTCAGAAGTTCAAGCCAGAAATCTAGAATCTGAATCTGAATGAAGAATTACTAAATTAGCCCTAAAATTTAAACAGTGTGTACTCTAGAAGACTATTCCCTAATATGAATCTAAAGAGATCTTTCTTTTATTGAGACACACTGAGGCTTCTTCTGTCTTTTTTATGTAGCCTTTCCCCTCACAATCAAATGCCACTAGGCATGGCTTGTTTTTTATTATGCTATCATCGCCAGCGTGGCTCCCTAACAATGAGAATGGATTTGTGATGAGGTGTATCTCTGAAGTCTCTGGTATATATAATTGCCCAAAAAACAGTGTCATGATTAAAAAGTCCGCGCCTACCCTCAGAAGTTCAAGCCAGAAATCTAGAATCTGAATCTGAATGAAGAATTACTAAATTAGCCCTAAAATTTAAACAGTGTGTACTCTAGAAGACTATTCCCTAATATGAATCTAAAGAGATCTTTCTTTTATTGAGACACACTGAGGCTTCTTCTGTCTTTTTTATGTAGCCTTTCCCCTCACAATCAAATGCCACTAGGCATGGCTTGTTTTTTATTATGCTATCATCGCCAGCGTGGCTCCCTAACAATGAGAATGGATTTGTGATGAGGTGTATCTCTGAAGTCTCTGGTATATATAATTGCCCAAAAAACAGTGTCATGATTAAAAAGTCCGCGCCTACCCTCAGAAGTTCAAGCCAGAAATCTAGAATCTGAATCTGAATGAAGAATTACTAAATTAGCCCTAAAATTTAAACAGTGTGTACTCTAGAAGACTATTCCCTAATATGAATCTAAAGAGATCTTTCTTTTATTGAGACACACTGAGGCTTCTTCTGTCTTTTTTATGTAGCCTTTCCCCTCACAATCAAATGCCACTAGGCATGGCTTGTTTTTTATTATGCTATCATCGCCAGCGTGGCTCCCTAACAATGAGAATGGATTTGTGATGAGGTGTATCTCTGAAGTCTCTGGTATATATAATTGCCCAAAAAAAAAGTGTCATGATTAAAAAGTCCGCGCCTACCCTCAGAAGTTCAAGCCAGAAATCTAGAATCTGAATCTGAATGAAGAATTACTAAATTAGCCCTAAAATTTAAACAGTGTGTACTCTAGAAGACTATTCCCTAATATGAATCTAAAGAGATCTTTCTTTTATTGAGACACACTGAGGCTTCTTCTGTCTTTTTTATGTAGCCTTTCCCCTCACAATCAAATGCCACTAGGCATGGCTTGTTTTTTTATTATGCTATCATCGCCAGCGTGGCTCCCTAACAATGAGAATGGATTTGTGATGAGGTGTATCTCTGAAGTCTCTGGTATATATAATTGCCCAAAAAAAAAGTGTCATGATTAAAAAGTCCGTGCCTACCCTCAGAAGTTCAAGCCAGAAATCTAGAATCTGAATCTGAATGAAGAATTACTAAATTAGCCCTAAAATTTAAACAGTGTGTACTCTAGAAGACTATTCCCTAATATGAATCTAAAGAGATCTTTCTTTTATTGAGACACACTGAGGCTTCTTCTGTCTTTTTTATGTAGCCTTTCCCCTCACAATCAAATGCCACTAGGCATGGCTTGTTTTTTATTATGCTATCATCGCCAGCGTGGCTCCCTAACAATGAGAATGGATTTGTGATGAGGTGTATCTCTGAAGTCTCTGGTATATATAATTGCCCAAAAAACAGTGTCATGATTAAAAAGTCCGCGCCTACCCTCAGAAGTTCAAGCCAGAAATCTAGAATCTGAATCTGAATGAAGAATTACTAAATTAGCCCTAAAATTTAAACAGTGTGTACTCTAGAAGACTATTCCCTAATATGAATCTAAAGAGATCTTTCTTTTATTGAGACACACTGAGGCTTCTTCTGTCTTTTTTATGTAGCCTTTCCCCTCACAATCAAATGCCACTAGGCATGGCTTGTTTTTTATTATGCTATCATCGCCAGCGTGGCTCCCTAACAATGAGAATGGATTTGTGATGAGGTGTATCTCTGAAGTCTCTGGTATATATAATTGCCCAAAAAACAGTGTCATGATTAAAAAGTCCGCGCCTACCCTCAGAAGTTCAAGCCAGAAATCTAGAATCTGAATCTGAATGAAGAATTACTAAATTAGCCCTAAAATTTAAACAGTGTGTACTCTAGAAGACTATTCCCTAATATGAATCTAAAGAGATCTTTCTTTTATTGAGACACACTGAGGCTTCTTCTGTCTTTTTTATGTAGCCTTTCCCCTCACAATCAAATGCCACTAGGCATGGCTTGTTTTTTATTATGCTATCATCGCCAGCGTGGCTCCCTAACAATGAGAATGGATTTGTGATGAGGTGTATCTCTGAAGTCTCTGGTATATATAATTGCCCAAAAAACATTGTCATGATTAAAAAGTCCGCGCCTACCCTCAGAAGTTCAAGCCAGAAATCTAGAATCTGAATCTGAATGAAGAATTACTAAATTAGCCCTAAAATTTAAACAGTGTGTACTCTAGAAGACTATTCCCTAATATGAATCTAAAGAGATCTTTCTTTTATTGAGACACACTGAGGCTTCTTCTGTCTTTTTTATGTAGCCTTTCCCCTCACAATCAAATGCCACTAGGCATGGCTTGTTTTTTATTATGCTATCATCGCCAGCGTGGCTCCCTAACAATGAGAATGGATTTGTGATGAGGTGTATCTCTGAAGTCTCTGGTATATATAATTGCCCAAAAAACAGTGTCATGATTAAAAAGTCCGCGCCTACCCTCAGAAGTTCAAGCCAGAAATCTAGAATCTGAATCTGAATGAAGAATTACTAAATTAGCCCTAAAATTTAAACAGTGTGTACTCTAGAAGACTATTCCCTAATATGAATCTAAAGAGATCTTTCTTTTATTGAGACACACTGAGGCTTCTTCTGTCTTTTTTATGTAGCCTTTCCCCTCACAATCAAATGCCACTAGGCATGGCTTGTTTTTTATTATGCTATCATCGCCAGCGTGGCTCCCTAACAATGAGAATGGATTTGTGATGAGGTGTATCTCTGAAGTCTCTGGTATATATAATTGCCCAAAAAACAGTGTCATGATTAAAAAGTCCGCGCCTACCCTCAGAAGTTCAAGCCAGAAATCTAGAATCTGAATCTGAATGAAGAATTACTAAATTAGCCCTAAAATTTAAACAGTGTGTACTCTAGAAGACTATTCCCTAATATGAATCTAAAGAGATCTTTCTTTTATTGAGACACACTGAGGCTTCTTCTGTCTTTTTTATGTAGCCTTTCCCCTCACAATCAAATGCCACTAGGCATGGCTTGTTTTTTATTATGCTATCATCGCCAGCGTGGCTCCCTAACAATGAGAATGGATTTGTGATGAGGTGTATCTCTGAAGTCTCTGGTATATATAATTGCCCAAAAAACAGTGTCATGATTAAAAAGTCCGCGCCTACCCTCAGAAGTTCAAGCCAGAAATCTAGAATCTGAATCTGAATGAAGAATTACTAAATTAGCCCTAAAATTTAAACAGTGTGTACTCTAGAAGACTAAACTAATAAGCGTGTTCAGCCAAGCTACGCCATGTTCTTGCCTTCTTCTCCCTTCCTCTCGCCTCGCGCATGCGCACAGCCACTGTCTCTCTGATGCAATCTCACACACACACTCCCAAGATACGATCCACCAATGTTTCACTGTTATAATATGAACTTGTGAAAATCTGCGCCATTAGGGTGAACAAGGCTTAGAAATCCCTGATATCAATTCAGTATCAAGTATTCATGAGGAAGGTAAGGTTGGCTAAACAAAATTGAAGTGATAGGATTGCCGTAATGCATGGAGCGGGTGGGGGAGTAAGTAAAAAATGTAAGCCTGGTGGAGATTATATATGTTAATAACTTTCATTGATTGTTTACATTTTCTTAACTGTTTGTTAACATATTTGTATTATTATTGTTGCATGATAAAATGTGTCATAGTATGTTAAAAAAGGAAATTCGTTAATTATTTTTTTTATTTTTTAAGGGGGGTGCATTGTTTTATGTGCTCTAAGTAAGGATAAATTATTTTAAATGATTATGAAACCATGCTTTTCTACATCACAGGTGAAGTGCCTTGTGAAAATATGTATTGTTTTGTTCTTGTGATGTTAACCTGTTATCAGAAATTTGAAATTAAACCTATTTTTCGGAAAATAAATTTTTTTAACGCATACCATTTGTTTTATTTTGTGTTTCTTAAAATGTGTTCGTTGGATTGTGATGAAACTTTGTGTACTTGCTTAGAGGTGGACAAGCTAATTAATAACAATAAAGTTTTTGAGAAAAGTGATATGTGAGTTAAAATATATTTTTTTAGTGATTACTGAAACCGAAAAGTGACAGTTTGCGAACAATTTATAATGTCTTTAAGTAAAAATGGAACAAAATCAAAACCATATCGTCTACCTCAAAAGTCTTATCGTTAGAACTTTAAAGAACCATTCAGTAATTTAAATACAAAGATTGAAGTTCCTAGTTACAGAAGTTTTTTAAAAACACGTGGGGTCACGTTTTTACTCTGTAGACCCCTAACCACAAACCAAAAAGGTGAAAATATGAGAAAATTTTTTTTTTTTAAATTTTATAAGTGATATATAAGTCTGTCTGCACACACTGAAAGTGTTCTATCAGTAAAATTGTTCTTTTTAAAAAAAGTAATATTGAACTTAGTTGACCCCCTTAAACTTCTTCTCCACTTTCTGGAAACTGTGATGTGATCAATTTGGTTTTTTGTTTTGCCATCGGGTGACGTCCAGGTGGTCTTATGTATATCTTTATGAGAGAAAATTGTCCCCCCTATAATTAGATCATTAGCTGCGCAGAAATCAGCAAAGAGTTCCCCGTTTTCATTTATTGTGCCTATTCCATTTTTCCCCATTGTGAGCTCCCGTTCTTTATTTTCTGTTCCAACTTTGGCATTCATGTCTCCCATTACTATCTTTATATCTCTTTTTGGTGATTTGTCGATTTGAGCCTGCAGGGCGCTGTAGAAGTCCTCTTTCTCTTCATCTGTTGCAGCCTTTGTGGGTGCATAGCACTGGATTAAAGTTGTTTTCCTTCCCTTGGCATTGAAACGAGCTGCTATGAGTCGTGGCGAGACTGGTTCCCATGCAATCAAAGCATTTGTTGCTTCTGGAGACATCATTATGGCTACACCTTGCGTGTGTTCATGATCTTCGTCCTCGTGACCTGAGTAGATGACAGTCTCTCCCGAGACCAACCTAGTTTGGCCACTGCGTTCCATCATGTCTCACTTAATCCTAGGACTTTTAATTTATACCTCCTCATTTCTTTGGCGACCTGGGCTGATCTGCTGCCTTCATATAGGGTTCTGATGTTCCAGGTCCCTAATCTGGTTTTGGTCTTGGGCGTTAGGAGATTAGTCAGCAAACTAGCTTCCGTTAGGCTTTCACTAGTAGGCATCATGGGCTCTTCTAGAGAGGATCCCCCTTGACCAAGTCGGTGTTGGATTTGTGTACTTGCAGTTTCTATAGCGGTATATTTTTTTTACGAGATAAGGTTGCTAGCTTATGTTTCAACCCCCAACCTGGAGGACCAGGGTGTTAGCTTTGGTCTGATCTCTACCCGCGCAGACCTTCCCAGCTTGGTTGAACCTACCAGGAGTTTACACTCCCGCTGGTATAGCTCTGGGGGTGGTCAGGATACACAAGCTGCCAAGCCACGACAAGGCTCTAACACCGGATGGCAGTTTATTTACATATATTGGTTCAGTTTTTCAATGATGTCAGGTGCGTCGATGACTCAGCGTTTTACCTTTTTACCATCTTTTACCTATTTGTCAACTATTTAGATAGAACCATCAAACACACTTATTTCAGAGCTTCCATCTGGTTAGTTTTTAGCTTTAGATTCAAATAGTTTGGACCTAAGCTGATATTGTATGAACAAATTTAGTATTTAAAAATAGGGGGTGTACCCTGTTCCACCCCTTATTTTTTGTCAAACAGATAGATTTAAACACATATTTTGATTGTTTCTGTTTAAGAATAGAGTTATCTTGAGCTAGACAAATTTTGAGACTTAAATGGCTAATAACTCAAATTTGCCATCATGATGCATTTCACATCAACAAGACTTCGGTTATGTGAAATTGTATAATTTATCAGCTTTGCAGCAGTTAAAACAAAAATCTTTTCAGTTATAAATATTATTTTGATTGTAATAACTGACACATCCATAGCTCATCATTCTCAGCAAGTTTGAGCTTAATTTTTTGAATAGTTAAAATTTTAACTGAGATTGTATGAATGCACTGTATATGAAAAATTAGGGGGGGGGTACCCTGTTCTACTTCTGTTTTTGTTTAACTCTGCCCATAAATTTCTAATTTTATTGTTTATTATGCTCCCATACATAATAAATAAAGATATTGCAAAGTTATAACAAATTTGACCATATGGTTTACAAGCTAGGACAATTTTAGTAAACGCTTAAAAAAACTCTATCACAGAAATTGAAAAAATCCTGTTAAAAAAAATCACATTTTTTTTCAGTAATACTTGTTTTAAATAAGTATGAAACATTCTTGTAATTTATTTTCACATTAGTAGTTATTAGGTAATTATGACTACAGTGATAACAATTTTAAAACAATTCCTAGAAATTCCTATTTTCTTTGCTGATATGCTAATTTTCTTGAAATTTTTTGGGGAATGATCAAATTCAAATTGTCAAAAGGTTACATGATGTCTTTTTCTGCCATGCATTTCTTCAAGTTGGTTTCCATTTCTTCGAAATCTAAAGCAATTGGAGAAAGATTTATTAGACAAAGTAAAGCTTACTCAAACACAATTAACTTATAACTTATTTAATTTTCTAATTTGATGTTGAAAAATGTTTACCGTGTTTATCAAAATAACATAGAAACTGAAAAAAATAAAAAGGAAAATTATGTCAGAAAATAATTCACATTCTTTGAATAATTACTAAAACAATATGAGTCAAAAGCATTTTGTTTTAAAATAAAAATGTTATTAATAAAAAAGAATCACCTCTTTCACTTTATCAATTGTTTCTGGACCTGGCTCATTTTCTGAAAGATGGGTGATCATATCTTCAATATAAATGTAGAAAAATGCAGACATTGAGTCTTATTTTTCAAACCAAACATGTTAACTTAAATTTCATTTATGTTTTTAATATCAAAATATAAAAGAGATTAATCTAAAAAAAATGATAAGATTTGTAAAAATTAAATTGCGCATCAACTCAATAAATTTGAATAGATTATTTAAAAATTACCAAGACAGATAGCGCTCTCCCCCAGATAAGTGTCTGGGTCTGTGTATTTTTCAGAAATGACACAGTCTTCAATCCACTTCTTGTTGACAATTTTAAGTTTTCTTTTTTCTATCTTTTCTTGAAGCTCTCTTTCTAAACAAGCTAAGGAAAAAAAATGATAGATGTATACATATTGATAGCACAAAAACAAGTAACAAAATTCACAAATAGTAGTTGTAAAACAAAGATTTTACAACAAGAAAAAAAAAAAAACTTTAAACAAAGTATTTTGTCAAGATTTATAGTTCACTAAAAAGGTTTACCGCAATCTTTTACCACACAATGTGTGCATTCCTTGAGCTCCAGTGAGGTAGTTCCTGCTGCAATTGGTACATTTAAAGTGATAACATTTTATCATTTTTTAATCCTAATATTACTATAAAATCCTAGCTAGCATTGTTTTTAATTAGTGTCTGATAAAAAATATATTACTGTAATAACATAAATATTAATTTTTTTTTAAAGCTGGTTTTAATCAATATAAAAATTTAAGTCCATTATGTTTACCTGGCTTTACCCACTTCAAAGCAAAAGCCCTTCTAGCTGTAGAAGAGTGTAGAACTGTAAAATCACCTAATAAAACTTCAGCCCAGTCATGTCTAATCCAGTGATTGCTTCAGGGATTACAAATCTTGTGAATAATGTTCTGAGCAATTTATGCATTTTTCTTCTGATTAAGTGAATCTGAGGAGCTGCTAATTCCAGGTTGACTTTGATAAAAACTGGTAGAGTTCACTGTAAAAATAAAATGTTGAGCTTTTTAAGTGGAGATTTCAAGATTTCCTTCATTCTTTCAAAACAATCAATAGGACAAGAAAGTTGATTGTCTTTGTATGGGAATGTTCAAAATTTTATCTTATTCCTCGGAGGTGCTATGAATCCACTTACCATTACATGATAGAAAAGGCTTTCCAGATCATATCCTAACTAGTTTTGAAGCTTTATAATTAATCCCTCTTCCTTAAATCTGCGAAATACTGCTTTTAATGTATTCTTTCCAATATTACTTTAAATTCGACCCAGATTTTGCAACTATCGGCTGCAATTTTCTTTTAGCATTTCTTGAAAGTGCCATTCCACCTTTCCGCTGCTCCATTGTTTTGCAATGCGAGTTTGGGATTGGGTCTTTCTTGTAAGACAACATGGATTTATAGACAATGACGGTCTAATACGAATGACTGAACAGGACTACATTGGTTCATTCTATGGTTTATTGCACGGCAAAATACACATGGACGATCACTTTTCACAATGCATACAAAGTCTATGTTCACGACAAAATTACCAGCTAGAAGATCCTACTCTCACACGTCATATCCTTATGTACTTCGTTACACAGTCACAACCTTTTATTAATACAAATCATTCCACAGCATGCATACTCTCATACCTGTTATGATGTGAGTTACTCGGACAGGGTCGATGCTGGTAGTTGACGAACAACGTACGACGATCCAATACAATTACAAATAAAACAGGACGGCGTTCTTAATTTTTCATCTTTAATCGTATATATAATGTACAACAAATCAAACAGGACGCATTCTTAATTTTCCATCTTTAATCGTATATATAATGTACACGACTACATTGACGATAGACTGGACGAAGTCTTCTACACTCTCTTGCGACAAGAACAAGACTCAGACTGACTTAAACTATTTGTCCTAGCAACCAAAACATACTCTCCCACGTCACATCCTTACTTGCTTTGTCACACATTTAGAATCTTTATTAATCTCACTACACTCATACTCTCAACCCCTTTTATTAAACACATTCCACTACTGACATCCTCTCAAATTCATTCAATACAACAAAGTCCTTTCACAACAATACCCTTGCAATACTCAAGATACCATTCATAATACATTCGACATGTTGTGGTTAGCTGATGAATGCACAATTTCAATCCCTATTAGCTTTAAAATCTTATTAAAATATTTGGACCTGAATTGGGACTAGTTTCTCATCAAGATAACCTAAGTTCAGTTTCAGAAAAACGGAGACACAAACTACTATAGTCATAGTTTTGAAATTAATTAATTCCACACTGTACTACACTAAGACCATGTTATCAATTCAATTTTTTTTTTTAATGCTTCTAACTCATTGAGCTCCCACATTACTGATATTACCCAATCTAAAGTACCTTTATTTGCACTCTACTGGAGTTTAAATAAATGCTTTTGTATTTTAAATGTATCTAAAGTTGTTGGTATTTAGCCTCCCTTTTCTTAAAATTTGCCATAAATCATTTTTTCTTTGACTTGTATTAAACTTTGAGATATTTGGATTTTATGCCCTGGACAAAAAAACTTAGACAAAACAAGCTGGTTCTTGACAAGACAGGTCATGCCCTGACCACATTGCTATGATGCGCATCAATATTGAACAGTCCCAGAGTCCCTTGAGTGGCAATATCCCCCCTCCCCCACCTTTTGTAAACTTTGAAAAAGTGTTTGACTATTTATTCAACAACTGTACTCATTCTAAATCTATGATCAACTACTCTTGATTTCAAGACTACATGGTGTACCTCTCACATTCAATACCTAGCCCTAACTCCCTAGCTTTTACACCATAACAACCAGTTCCTGCCACATTGCCTTTCTTCTGGATCATCAATCCATGCATTTATTATATCTCTCGCACTAACATTCATTCGCATCAAAACACCCAGATAAAACACATAACAGTTACTCTATTGCTAGACCAAACATTTTTTGTAAGATCGGTTACGCAGTTATTATCCACATTACAATTAATTATCTTGTCTTTTTTTAAGTATAATGTTTGGTTAACTGCTGCAATTAATTGAGATGTTATAATGTTCTGTTCTAAAGTGATGTCATAAAACTGGCCTATTGAATCAACCAGTAATTAATGTTCATACACAGATTTTAGTTTGACACTTTTATAAATAGTCTAGATAAATTGTCAAATGTGTTCTCAGATCTATTCTAGAACTCCTATGACAGTAATTGATGAAGTGTGTCATACTTCCTTTTCTTTACCACTGGTCAACCCAACATTGCATTTACTTAAGTTTATTGTGTCATGCAAGATCTGTCATTAAGCCATCAAACAAAAACCACATACTTGGATGGCTACAGTAGAATAAGAAATTCAGAGCATTGTGGAAACCCTCACAGCAATAGTTTTCTAGTCATTCAATGCTGGTATGGAAAAAGGGAGATATCTCTAGCTGTAAAAAAAAAATAGCTTCATTGGGGGAAATTGCTGCTAGTTATTCAAAGATATCTCTTACATCGACTAGAACAAAAGCTGTAAGAGACAACGGGTTCAGCTTGACTTCCACTATGTATTCATAATTACTCTACAAGCTGACACTGTTGATCTTCCTCACTAGTATCCGTCAGAGATGGAAATGGCACCCTTTAAGTGCAGCATCCGGGAAAAGCAGTTATTATATCATTCACGCACCCTTTTTAAAAACCAAGATTTTTTGTAAAACTATATTTGGAACTAACTCTTTGAGACATCCTAATGTACATTTCTAGAATACTTTTTAGAACACAACCTATAATCATTGGAGTTTCCTACTTGGCACGCCTACTGTGAAATTTTAGCACTGATTTTTAACTAGTTTTAACAGATTTTTATTTTAGTAAAGTGTTGATCACTTATTTTATTTAGTTAACAATATAAAACGTGCAAAAAAATACATAGATTGCATCAACAAATAAATAATTATGCATAATTTGAGGTTGACTTTTTCTCAATTAAAAATGAGTGTCCAACTTGGTAGTTTGTTTCAGTAATACTTGTTTTAAATAAGTATGAAACATTCTTGTTATTTATTTTCACATTAGTAGTTATTAGGTAATTATGACTACAGTGATAACAATTTTAAAACAATTCCTAGAAATTCCTATTTTCTTTGCTAATATGCTAATTTTCTTGAAATTTTTTGGAGTATGATCAAATTCAAATTGTCAAAAGGTTACATGATGTCTTTTTCTGCCATGCATTTCTTCAAGTTGGTTTCCATTTCTTCGAAATCTAAAGCAATTGGAGAAAGATTTATTAGACAAAGTAAAGCTTACTCAAACACAATTAACTTATAACTTATTTAATTTTCTAATTTGATGTTGAAAAATGTTTACCGTGTTTATCAAAATAACATAGAAACTGAAAAAAATAAAAAGGAAAATTATGTCAGAAAATAATTCACATTCTTTGAATAATTACTAAAACAATATGAGTCAAAAGCATTTTGTTTTAAAATAAAAATGTTATTAATAAAAAAGAATCACCTCTTTCACTTTATCAATTGTTTCTGGACCTGGCTCATTTTCTGAAAGATGGGTGATCATATCTTCAATATAAATGTAGAAAAATGCAGACATTGAGTCTTATTTTTCAAACCAAACATGTTAACTTAAATTTCATTTATGTTTTTAATATCAAAATATAAAAGAGATTAATCTAAAAAAAATGATAAGATTTGTAAAAATTAAATTGCGCATCAACTCAATAAATTTGAATAGATTATATAAAAATTACCAAGACAGATAGCGCTCTCCCCCAGATAAGTGTCTGGGTCTGTGTATTTTTCAGAAATGACAGTCTTCAATCCACTTCTTGTTGACAATTTTAAGTTTTCTTTTTTCTATCTTTTCTTGAAGCTCTCTTTCTAAACAAGCTAAGGAAAAAAAATGATAGATGTGTAAGCCCTGCTAGGGGGGGATACCTTAAAATCTATCTAACTGTCCGGGTCAGTGCAACCATGGTGAAACCCACGGTGGTTATATCTTATCCTTAGTCTAAATAAAAAACTACTAAAATAAGACAAAAACTTTAACAATTAATAAAATTTATTTATCAAAAATATGGAACCAATAAAAAAAATTATAGAAAAAGAATAGATAAAAACTGACACAAAACAGACAAAACAAAACCAAACAAAACACCCAATTTCGGACCACCGTCCTAGAAAGAGGGAAAATAGACAAATCAATTCAAAATGTAAAAACAGTTATACACAAGGCACTAAGAAGTTGACACAATTGAAAATAAAATGGATATTGTACAAAATGAACTTTCAAATGAAAGTAGTACAAAGAACACACTTAAATGTAAATATTAGGTCACTGAGCATAAAACTACTAGTTCAGTGCACACAATAATCAGCCTCAGCTACAAGTACATAACCAAACCCTACAGTCCGGAACGAACCGTGACTGTGGGTCAAGTAACAATAACTCCACTACCTAACCCAACAGCCAGGAGTAAACCATAGCTGCGGGTCAAGTCTAAAAATACCTTTATCCCTGCCTTAACACCAGCCCAAGGGATACAATCAATAAAATGTGTGTATTACTTAACCCAACAGCCAGGAGTAAACCATAGCTGCGGGTCAAGTCTAAAAATACCTTTATCCCTGCCTTAACACAAGCCCAAGAGATACAACAAAGTAATAAAATGACCATAACATAATAAAAACTCAGAATCTGAGTCCACATGGCCTGACCACAATGGCGGTCAGAAAACAGCCACAAAAACTTATGGCCAGTAACCAAAATTAACAGCATAGCAAAAAAGTAAACTTATTTCTAACTTACCAGGTCTATGACGAACACAAACACAAAATAAATACGGCTGGATGGTGTGAATTTGTTGTTCTTTACAATCGATGACCAGAGAGTCTTCCTGCTCTCTTCATCGCTGCTTTCTACACACCAAAAGACAGACTCGAACCAGCCGGAAATCAACTTCCACACACCTCACACACTACACTTAAACAAATAGTCCCTAATTCACGGATAACAAACCAAACCCCACGAAACATGCAACAGAATTATATAAAAAGACACTTAACATAAACAATGACAACAATATAAACGAAATATATACAAACTAGCTATAAACAGGGACATAAACAGTGAGACAGCGGCGCCATAATACGGGACTACACAACTAAAAACTACGAACAATTTACGACATGAAACGAAACGATACATTCGCCTTCTAAGTTACAAATAATAAAAATACACTCCAGCCGCTCACAGATGTATACATATTGATAGCACAAAAACAAGTAACAAAATTCACAAATAGTAGTTGTAAAACAAAGATTTTACAACAAGAAAAAAAAAACAACTTTAAACAAAGTATTTTGTCAAGATTTATAGTTCACTAAAAAGGTTTACCGCAATCTTTTACCACACAATGTGTGCATTCCTTGAGCTCCAGTGAGGTAATTCCTGCTGCAATTGGTACATTAAAAGTGATAACATTTTATCATTTTTTAATCCTAATATTACTATAAAATCCTAGCTAGCATTGTTTTTAATTAGTGTCTGATAAAAAATATATTACTGTAATAACATAAATATTTTTTTTTTTTTTAAAGCTGGTTTTAATCAATATAAAAATTTAAGTCCATTATGTTTACCTGGCTTTACCCACTTCAAAGCCCTTCTAGCTAACAAAAAATCCCCCCCCCCCCCCCCCCCCCCAACAAAAGTTCACACTGCTTTTACACCCATATTTGGCCTTAAAGTGAACATAATACAGCCTGCGATCTGTAGTGTTTCAAACCTAGCTACAACAGTTGTTCGTTACATTTTACTCCACCAAATAAATTCATAATGGTCCACTGACCTTAAGTATCAGGTAAATACAAAAATTAAGAATAAAGGGCTAAAATCTGAATTACAAATTCAGCATACCTCCTTGTAAGATGATCATTTTCAGCTCATCTTCTTCCATTTTGTTGAAGCCATGTTTAAAAAAACAGACTCCATATAAAGCAGGGCACCGATAATGAGTCATATAAAATGTGTCCATTGGGTTGATGGAACTGCTTAATAAAAAATTGGATAAACCATTGCAATAATCAAGAAAGGAAAAAATGTAATTTAGCTAATAAACTTTAAAATATAGAATAGACAGCTTTGATTTTCAGAACTAATTGAGTATCACACACTGGAGAGCCTTTAATTTAAATTGATATCATAATGACAAGTTGTGTTAGGAGAATTTCCCATTCTCAGGGGTGAAAAGAAATAAATAAAAGAACTAAACAATGGAAAACAATAGACCAACCTTGTTTTAGAATCTGCTAGGACCTGGTCAATCCAAGCAGGTAACATTATAGGCACCTTTAACTTGATAGCTTCCTGGTTTAAAAAAGATATAGAAAAAATTGTGCTAAATCTCAATCAAATTATACACATGTCTTGGTTGTAGGGTACTTTTTTTTTAACTTTTAAGGATGTTTGAATGGGTGTCCAGGTGAGGCTGAAAGTGTTTTGGTCTTTCATATCCTCAAACACCTATGGAAACTAATAACCAAGTTACATTATAAACACTTTTAACAAGGAAAAAAAGTTGTCTCCAAAATTTATTTTGTTCACTTCTGTAAATTATATTATATAGGACCCTTTTAAATATAGTAAATTTGGTACAGAATAACGTACAGATGCCATGTCATTCCCAGATCTGCCAGACTGGCCTTCAGTCCAGACACAACAGTAAATAGATTTGTCTACCGAGAGATGCGCTGTCATGTTATAAGAAGAGAGCTTCCTTAGGTAAAAAAAATTTGAGACTTCAGCCTTCGGGAGGGTTATGACTTTTTGCAAGTCAAAGGAAAGAACAGGAACTCCTGACTCTCTATCTCGCTTTCGTTCTTCACGGGCATCTTCTTTAAGTTCAATGTGTTTGAAATGTCGTGATTGCTCTTCATCATTGAACGTACCTTCAGAGGCTTTAGTATTGAATATTTCACATTTTTCACATCTATCCTTTTTTTCTACAGGGGAACGAAATGTTAAATTCTGTTGCAAAAATATTAGTGTACAAGTGTTTATTACCAGCTTCATATCCCTTTTCCTGACAAAATGTAGTGTATAATCCATAACGCCGACTTGCAGATAATTCGGATTCAAAATACTTTCGGTTTGTTTTAGCTCTGCAATAGTGTGAGTCTACACAAGGCACACTCTTAATATGTTCTCTTATTCCTTCTCTAACATTGTCAGGAATCCTTTTTTTGACATGTTTTCCTTGTTTCCTAGCAGCTGGTGTATTGGTTGATGTTTGAAAATGATCATAGAAGTAGGAGATTCTACGTTGGCTTATGTCCAGTGTGTTCAAAAAAAGGGTTTGCAAACTCTGATGGCAGCACCATCTATATAGAAAGAGTAGGAGAAAGAGTACTGCCGCCTCAAGTCCATAACTGTTGTTTTTTAAGTTTTTTTTAAAAAATACATGTTGTGTTTTTGCTGTAGAAATGCGATTTTCTCTCATCAGGGAGGCTCCAGAAATGTGCAAATAGCAAAGCCCTTTGTTCTTCTGAGAAGAATGTGCTGCATTGAATTTGCATGCTGTGCAGTCCTTTGTATTTTTCAACTCCCTTTTTCTTCTTACTGTTTTGTTTCTGCTTTGATACTCCTTGCCTGCTTGTCTTTTCCCTTTATTTATGTTACATTTCCATGCCTGTAGATCTTTTGTTCTTTTTCGTCCTTTTCTATGGATGAAAATAAAAGGTTGGATACACTGAAATTTGTAACAAATACAAAAACAGGACGCTCCCATTCTAAGAAATAAACTAAACTTAAATTATGCTTTTAAAGACTTATTAGTTACTAATAATTAATTACCTCCGATTTTGATTTGTAATATCATTATCCGTATACTCAAACAACTCCTCGTTTTGAATTGTATCATTCTGTTGTGTAACATTTAGACTGGAAACATAAAGTAAAACGTAATGACTACAAGAGCAATGTGTTTGAATATATAACTAAAATGTTTACTAACAATTCATTACCCTAAATTCTGAGTTGCAACATCCATATCTGTATACTCCATCTCTTCATTCTGATACAAATTATTCTGCTATACAATATTTAAACTGGAAATACAAAGTAAAAAGAGAACTTTAATCCTGAGTCACATTGCACCTATTATCACCACCAGGGTTGCTACAATACCATGTTGACATAAATGCAATAGGTGACCTCACCCTTCAGGTGGAATCGCTCCAGCGACAAAGGAAAACGTCATTATTTATTAGTATAATCAGAAACAGATCATGTTTTCTAAACAGTTACTTATCTACTATCTTGTTAAAAATATTTTATTTAAGAACAAAAATATAGTGTCCCAAAACAAATCTTACACTGTCCTTAAGACTGCTTAGCAAATGACACAAAAATTCGTGCGCATCCTCTTGGTCACATCTTAAGTATTGAACGTAGGCTGTTGACAAGGAGCCCTGCAATAGCATAAAACAAATCAAATGATTACATCAGGGCTAGTGAAGCCAAGCAATCTCTCATAAAATTATTTTACAACTTAACAAACTATCTTTGCTAAAATAATACAAAGTGACCTGTTCTGAAGCACTAAAGAATTGTTTACCTTGAATTTTTTTGGATTCACAGACTTAACCCCAGACCACAACTTCTGAACTACAGCTCTAAGTTCATTAGAAACTTCTCCCTTCAACTCAATGTTGTTGTCTGTTCCCAGAAGAAAGCATAAATTTAGTAATAAAAAACATGGTGGTAAGACTTCTAGAAAACTGTCTAAATCCTAGATTTACCTAAGAAAATGTGCTTTAATTCAGTATTGTTGGCTAAAATCTGGGTTATGCTATTCAAGTAGCATGTGTTTCCTAGATTATCCAGGCCAGAGAACCCAAGGGACACAGTTGTCTTTGGAAAATCTATACTTTCCTATAAACTCTGATACAAAAAAAAACCAGGTAATAGTTATAAAGATAATTATGCGCAAGCATTTTTACAAAATTTTACTAAACAACATGAGGATAAGTACCTGAGAACTTTCTTGTAAGACAACTTGGATTTATAGACAATGACAATCTAATACGAATGACTGAACAGGACTACATTGGTTCATTCTATGGTTTATTGCACGGCAAAATACACATGGACGATCACTTTTCACAATGCATACAAAGACTATGTTCACGACAAAATTACCAGCTAGAAGATCCTACTCTCACACGTCATATCCTTATGTACTTCGTTACACAGTCACAACCTTTTATTAATACAAATCATTCCACAGCATGCATACTCTCATACCTGTTATGATGTGAGTTACTCGGACAGGGTCGATGCTGGTAGTTGACGAACAACGTACCACGATGCAATACAATTACAAATCAAACAGGACGGCGTTCTTAATTTTTCATCTTTAATCGTATATATAATGTACAACAAATCAAACAGGACGCGTTCTTAATTTTTCATCTTTAATCGAATATATAATGTACACGACTACATTGACGATAGACTGGACGAAGTCTTCTACACTCTCTTGCGACAAGAACAAGACTCAGACTGACTTAAACTATTTGTCCTAGCAACCAAAACATACTCTCCCACGTCACATCCTTACTTGCTTTGTCACACATTTAGAATCTTTATTAATCCCACTACACTCATACTCTCAACCCCTTTTATTAAACACATTCCACTACTCACATCCTCTCAAATTCATTCAATACAACAAAGTCCTTTCATAACAATACCCTTGCAATACCCAAGATACCATTCATAATACATTCGACATGTTGTGGTTAGCTGATGAATGCACAATTTCTATCCCTATTAGCTTTAAAATCTTATTAAAATATTTGGACCTGAATTGGGACTAGTTTCTCATCAAGATAACTTAAGTTCAGTTTTAGAAAAACGGAGATACAAACTACTATAAAATAATTTCTTCTAGAAAA